CTACCTCTTCAATTATTTGCGGTCTCCATTTTGAAAACATACTTGAACCTTTCGCAACAACAGCTTCCTTGATTGCCTGTCTGTTCGCCAAGATAGTACTGATGGCTGAATGTGATTTGTTGTACTGCCTTTCCAATTCAGCCATACGGGCTCCACTCTCGTATTTTTCAATGATCTCTTTCTTCATTTCCATCGTAATTCTCACCCTTTTTAACACAGGCTTGGCACTAGAAGCTTTCTTGGGGCCCTTGGTGGCTTATTTAGCAGTTACAAGCACTAAAAACACTAGAATAATCTAAATTATATGGCAGGTACACATAGAAACCGACCACAACAGTTTGTAAACAATAGCATACTGAGTCTTGGAGTGGCTGGGCCAGCTCAGGCTGCGCTCCCGGTGCATGGAAACGTTCTGGACGAACGTCGTTGGTAGAGTTTTTCGCCATCAGTAGAGACTTTTTTTATGCCAAAAAGCGCCGTTAGACGAATTTGCCATTACTTAATGCCGCCGTTAGTTGAGGGTCCACTGTATTCTAAGGTTAAAAAATAGCACCTTAATTATTTTAACAAATGTAAATATATGAACTAAGGTAGTTCTTTAAAGCTAAAATAAAGGAGAAAATATGAAAGGGACTAAAATAAGTAATGGTAAACAAATAAAGTGGTAATCAAATAAAGGAGCTAGGGAATATAATAGTAAAATAATGAAAGTATTACACTTTAGCACCTGAAAATAGCACCTTAATTATTTTAAAAAATGTGAATATATGAACTAAGGTAGTTATTTAAAGCTAAAATAAAGGAGAAAATATAAAAGGGACTAAAATAAGTAGTGGTAAAGAAAGTTAAATGGACAGATAGTCACTATGACATAATATTAATTTAGGAGTAAGATCTGACTTGTAATATGAAGTTTGAGCAATTAACAGCACTAAAAAAGTAAAAAATATATGAGGTAGTTGGTACTAGCTAGTAAAAGATAGTACAAGGAATTGCACAATAATGTAATAGGAATATACAGGAGGGCCCCACTTATACAGGCAGGTTAGGTTCCAGGCTACCGCCGTAAAGCGGAAACCGCCATAAAGTGGAACACCTTTTTTTTCCACTTATAAATGCATACAAACACTAGATAACAAGTTTACACTAACATATATTAAGTTAGCAATAGAACCAGGCATCAAAAAACAATAAAAAAGTACAATACACACATAGTGCACTCATTACTTACCTTAAAATATTTATAGTCTTAATCTAGGGTGAGACAAGTAGTATTTATTGTAAGAAATAAGTGTGGTATGTATGGTAATAGCCAGGCTACCTTACCAGGCCACCCCACCCACACATACTATTCTATGATATTTAAGCATCCCAGAGCGATAAAATGTATATACAGTTCACTCATTACTTACCTTAAAATATTTGTAGTCTTAATGTAGGGTCAGGAGTAAGTAAATGAGATAAAACGAATAAATGAGAGAGAGAAAGAATGAGTACATGAGAGGGGACAGGCGCAGTTATGTAAACAAACCAGGCGAAGGTAAGTTTTGTAAACAAACGAAGTGTACACGTCTGGTTTGTGTACAAGTTACATTGTGTACAGGTTGTCTCTACATTGATACGGTAGAATTAATAAAGAAGAACACTCCCATTCTCATGTAACATCATTTTGAGAAGAAATGAAGCTCTGAGTGAAGGCAATGGAAATAAGTCACATTGACTTTTTTGGGTTATCCTAGGTTCTCTACACGTATGTTGTTATGTATGATAATCTATGTAACTGTATTTGTGTATACCTGAATAAACTTACTTACATACATACGAAAGGAATAATTTTCTACAGTTACCCCCAGTAACACATTTTCTCTTATGTTAGATTAGAGAAAATGTTATTCTTGCCATCACTTGTACAAGTTATGTGGCTCCCACATCTTATATTTATGTTTATTTATTCTATTGTGGGGTGTATTTATCATCTTTTTATGTTATGTATCGTGTTTATTATATAATTTTGAAAAAAAATATCATGGATGGATTAATGAAAATGTGTATATTAACGTAATATACGACATTTAATGAGACTCGGTGAGTATTATTATTATTATCATTTCTAATATGGCGTCACTTGTGCAAGTCGTCTGCTACCACATCTCACATTTATGTTTATTTATTCTACTGTGGGGTGTATTTATCTTATTTATATGTTATGCATCGTGTTTATTATATAATTTTGAAAAAAATATCATGGATGGATTAATGAAAATGTGTATATTACCGTAATATACGACATTTAATGAGACTCGGTGAGTATTATTATTATTATCATTTCTAATATGGCGTCACTTGTGCAAGTCGTCTGCTACCACATCTCACATTTATGTTTATTTATTCTACTGTGGGGTGTATTTATCTTATTTATATGTTATGCATCGTGTTTATTATATAATTTTGAAAAAAATATCATGGATGGATTAATGAAAATGTGTATATTAACGTAATATACGACATTTAAATGACTCGATGATTATTATTATCATTACTAATATGACGTCTGGAGACATAAGACACTTACCAATTTTAATGTGTACCTGCATGCCAGCACAGTATGTAAGTTTATTTAGGTACAGGTATACATAAGTATAATTATCAGAGTATATATAAAATATGAAATAACTTTTAAAAACATTTGAAATTTTGGAGTTTCCAGACAAAATGGAGAGACTTAGTGCTTACTGAGCTCATGGAGAATGTAAACAAACAGGGTGGGGCACGGTGACCGTATTAGAAAGTCAGGTGGGGGGAGCCGTATAGCGAGTTTTGGTCATAATTTGAGATGTCCGTATTAGCAGAACGCCGTAAAGTGAAACGCCGTAAAGCGGGGCCTTCCTGTACACTAATTGCACCACACAATATAAAAGGGACTAAAATAAGATAGTACTATGTACGTACTGCGTATAACTTAGTTTGACAACACCACAATGCTCACCAGTGCACATGTGCTTACGGAGCTACCCTCGCGGTGCAAGGAATTCTCATGATTTCCTTACATTTCCTGCAGTTAATTCGCCAGATTTCTTTTTTTAACCATGGGTCCTAATGAAGCAAGTGCAAAGGACAGTGCTGAGAAGAAAAGGAGGAGGATTTTCATGGAATTAAAGCAAGAAATGATTAATAAGCACAGACTAGGTACGAGGGTTGAGGACTAGGTGAGTTGAGTACAAGTGAAGCCCTTCTACTATATGTACCTATGGGTTTAGAGCTTCCCCATGATGATGATAATAATAATAATAATAATAATAATAATAATAATAACCTACTTTATGTGCAGTACTAAAGCAGAAGGAGTCTATAAAGACTATAGAGCCAGCAAAGGGCATTACAGTAATTGTCAACATGGTTGACGGAGAAACAGCTCACAGGAGATACGTAGTGTAGCAAGATAAACATAAAAATTGTACATAGCAGTCTTTAAGAAAAGTGTGAACTCCTGACAGGATATGCCGCTCTGCATTTCTTCTCCAAGATGTGTTAATGTCGTATGTACACCAGATCTAATTCAGTTAGTCTCACAAACTCTGTTTTCTCTAATAACATCTCTGATGTTTTCATAGTCAGAATGTTCGACCACAATCCTCCTCCCTCTGCTGTCCACATTTTATTCATTCTAGAGTGTATATCAGGTTTCTATCTTATTTATATTGTTTATTATGTCATATTAGATGAGTTGTGACAGATAAATAAGCCGTAGAGTTGATATTAGGGTTATTTTGTCATGCCTCCTGAGAGCAGGAATTCAGCTGGAATGAATTAATTGCATTTCAATTAATTTAAATGAGGAAAACTGACCCAGCATATGAACAAATCAGGATACGAACAAGCCCAAAGAATGGATTAAATTTGTAAGCCGAGGTTCCACTGTATAAGAAGGGCCTGGAGCCATAACTAATAAACAGAGAAAATGTTATTTTAGTACCAGGAATGTCCGCATTGTTTATTCTGGACCCTAGTTAGAAATTGGCATCTGTGTGAAATTGGCATTTCTGTGAAATTGGCCAAATTGCCAATTTCTGACCACTTTATTGGGTAGTTGAAATAGGTGAATAGGCAGTTTCTTGTACTCAGTCAACAGAATAGAAGTAAGTTTATTCAGGTATACATAAATACAGTTACATAGATTATCATACATAGCAGCATATGTATAGAGAACCTAGGATAATCCAATAAAGTCAGACAGGGTGACTTATTTCCAGTACCTGGCTTGGGCTTGCCATATATGATTTTTGGTGAATATTTTTTTTTTCTCAGTTATTTGTTGGGCTATCTCATTGAAACTTGGGTAACATATGACGGAAAGATGCTCCTTAATGTACACTAAAACTGAAAAAAAAATCAGAAGATAAATAAGGGAGTTCACTTCTCAGCCCTTAGCCGCCTATTTGCGGTATATTTTTGTATGGTTTTTATGGTTGTATTCTCATTTTTTTGGTCTAATTTGATAGAATGGAAGAAATATTACAGAAATAGATATGATTTTGATTGGTTTCACAAGGAAAAGTACCTTGAAATTAAGCTCAAAGTAGTGGAAATGTTCGATTTTTGCTGACGTTCAATGAACTTTTGTGTGTAAGTCAAGTTGGTTAATTTTATTAAGTGTATTCTAACCTAACCACTCTGTAATCCGGCAAACTCAATAATCCGGCACACTACAGGTCCCAATGATGCTGGATTTGTGATGGTGGACTGTATATATGTATATATATATATACAGTGGACCCCCGCATAACGATTACCTCCGAATGTGACCAATTATGTAAGTGTATTTATGTAAGTGCGTTTGTACGTGTATGTTTGGGGGTCTGAAATGGACTAATCTACTTCACAATATTTCTTATGGGAACAAATTCGGTCAGTACTGGCACCTGAACATACTTCTGGAGTGAAAAAATATCGTTAACCGGGGGTCCACTGTATATATATAAGCTTATATATATAAGTCTTACCTTCATGCGTTCAAATATAAGTCTCATGCCTTCAATCATTTGGTCATCTGTGACAGTAAACACCTCAGACTCTGCATACTCACAGAGGACTGGAAATGTCAGGTGACCAACCTATCATGAAAGAAAATAGGAGAAAGGATTATGTAGTCCTACTCAATATCACAAATGAAAAGTAAAAAAAAAAGATGATACAAGTTAATTTAAGCAGTGCTGAATCCAATCAGATCACTCATACTGTAGCATTATTATCATAAATTAAGACTACTACTGCAAAGAGATCATCTACCAATTTTTCTAACCTGGAAATCAGGGAGACTGTTCGTTCTGTAAGAAGTGCAGTTTTAACCAGCGCTTAAGCTACTGGGTCAGAAAAGGTTTGTTGTCATTACAATTTTGTGAGTCATAAACAGTGTAAGAAACAGCAAGAAACAAACACTGTTGTCTTCTTTCCTCTCTTCTGATGCTTTGTACTGTGTGCAGCTAGACACTAATAGTTTTGAGCACTGAAATCTGTTGAAATTTAATTTGAAATACCACTGAAAATTTAGTGCTTTGGGCAAGTAATAACAATGTAGGAGCAGGAAAGTTAATCTCTAGTGTTGTGAAAATCAATTGTGTTGTATAGTTGTGATTCTATAGAAACTATCTTTAAAGTATTCATGCAATTCCAAAATCTTACCTAGCCTTCCATAAAGCCATAGATTAATCCTTAATCTTGATAAATTTTATGGGGTCAGTTCATATGAATGTCCCTCTTCCAAGATTAGACCACTGACAGCTGACATGTCAACACACTGCGGGACAGCATTAAATATATCCAGCCAAATACAGAATTCCTTCAACACCCCTGTCATATGCAACAGGAGGAACCAAGAGTTTATGTTTTACACTTTTTTTTCCTCAACAGTCATCTCCCACCAAGCCAGGGGTGACCCAATGAAGAAAACACTTGTACCATCATTCATTATTCAGCCACAAGTATGCTGACATCACAACTCAGATTACCTTCCAACTGTAACATACTCACCCCTCCTTCAGAGTGCAGGCACTGCACTTCCTACCTCCAGGACTCAAGTCCAGCTGACTAGTTTCCTTGAATCCCTCCATAAAAGTTACCATGCTCACATGAAAAACACTTGTCTCCATTAACTAACACAAGCTTGCTGGATGTTCAGGCCTCTAAAACTTAAAGCCTTTCTTTACACCCTTTCTGGTGTGTCCTGTACCCCGTTCACCTCATATTCATACACCCTCTTCATCAGCTTATCCATATCCATCCTCTCTCTACATGCTCAACCTCTCCTCAGCTCTCTGAATTATACCCTTGGTCACCCCACATCGCCTTCTAATTTCTACATTCCAGATTTTCTGCACATTATTCACACTACATGCTACTCTCAAACATGACAATTCCACTGCCTCCAGCCTAACTCTCAATGCAACATTCAAAATCCATGCCATACAACCATATAAGTGTTGGTACCACTATTCTCTGATAAATTTCCTTTTATGCCTCCACAAATGAACTTCTCTTTCTACAGCTGCCTCAACAAACCATCCACTACTTTCCCTTCATCTATGCTATGGTTCACCTTGTCTTTCACAAACCCATCTGTTAACAGGTCTACTTCCAAATATCTATCTACATCTACTTCCTCCATACTTTTTCCCCTCCAAACTGATAATCAATCACTGCCTAGACTTTTTGTTGCTCTTTTCTACATTAACTTTTTATATCATTTTACATACACTCCCAAATTCAGAACTGTATTTCCACCTTTCTCACTGCACACACCTCTATTAGTTTTACCACTTTTCTTGATCTAAAAGCTGCATTTGATATTGCGAACAGAACCGTTATACTACATGAACTAGCCAAAATGAATATTGGTGGTAGCTTACTCTGCTGGATAATAGGATACCTGTCAAATAGAGTATCCTCTGTCCTTTACCAAGGCTTCAGAAGTGATTCTAAAGAAATGTCTTTAGGTACACCGCAGGGAGGAGTTCTTAGTCCCATGCTATTTAATATTCTGATTAATGCTCTCCTAAATGCTCTACCTGCCTCACCTAAACATATAGCTATAAGCTATGCTGATGATATCATGATCCATACAACAGGGCATAAGAAGATGAATACCATTCTTAATGAAGTTCAAGCAATTTGTAATCGACTAGGCCTCATAATATCTTCCTCTAAAACTAAGATATTAACAAGCAAGCGACATCCCCCACCCATCTATTTGCAGGGTGAAATCATTAGCTACGTTAAAACTTACAGATATCTTGGTGTAGATGTACCCTTTAACAAATCCACTATACAACAACTAATGTAAAGCTAGGCTAAATGCTCTCAAAGCTGTTGCTGGCTACAATCCCAACTATGGTGCAAATGTGAGAATCGTGAGAATGATGTACATAGCCTATGTTAGGTCCTTAATTGATTATGCTGCTCCCATGTTGATATTAGCTAGAGAAAGTTCTCTCCGACCCTTGGAATTAATGCAAAATGAAGCTCTCAGGATTATTCTTGGCTGTCCCAGATCTACAAAAGTTCTTAACATGAGGAAGGAGCTTGGTATTTCTAGTATCAGTGATAGGATTGTTGAAATTAACACTGTACTCGGTATTAGAATGTTGAGAAACGAACCAGACACTGTCACAGTGAATCTTACCAAGTGTCTAGAGGTAAATACACACAGATCTAAATGGATTGTGAAAACGTGCAATTGCATTAAGTTTTATAACCTGCATGAACTGTATCACTGTAGGCAACAAGAGCATTTCACCCCTCCATGGAAGATGTGTTCATTTAATATCACATACCTACAAGTCCCTCCCAAGAAGCTCATTGCTAGTAATCCCTTCCTTAAATCTCTTGTTAGAGCAACTGCTCAAGAAGAAATTTCTCACCTAGCTGGTAGTAACAAGTTATCACAAGTTATATACACTGATGGATCTAAACAGGAGTCTTCTGGCAGGGCTGCATCTGCTCTTGTTGCCACCTCCTAGTTAAGAACGATAATAAATTTGTTGAGTTAGGCATAAGAATTAACAACTGGGCGTCTACACTGCAAACTGACTTGTTTGCAATCCTAATGGCGCTAAAGCTAACCTATGACACTGAGCTTGACTCTATCATCATTACTGATTCTATGTCATCATTGAAGGCTCTTGGCTCATATAATGACTCCAACAACATGCTCATTGGGGAAGCCAGGTATAGATACTCAAAAATTAGGGACAAAGGAATTAATGTACAATTGCTATGGATCCCATCACACATTGGATTACTCCTTCATGATAAAGTTGATATGTTAGCCAAGAAGAGTATCGAGAAGGAGAATGTAGAATATAACTTTGGTATAACTGTATCTAGCATTAGGAATAATATTAGGAGAGAAGTAAATAATGAAAATGATTGTTATAGGAATGCAGTTAGAAGCCTGAGTAGATCTATAACCCACTATGATAACATGAACGTAGATAAGTATGTTTATGGAGCAACTTGCAATGTGAACAGACTGACTGATGTTGTAGTGGCCAGGCTTAAGCTTGGTTACAAGTACTTCTGGCAGTTTGGGAGATACACAGATGATGATCAAACTAAATGTAAATTATGTGATCAGGCATATGGTCACTCTCTTGAACACTATGTGCTTAATTGTCCACTTATTGAGGAATACAGAGACAGACAGTATAATAACCTATGTGACATGTCAAGATATCTTATTAATGAAAATAAGATACCAGATATACTAAGCAAATTTCCTAAATTTGCTTGTAACAGATAAGTGAACTATAGATATGTAGATATAAATCCATATGTATTCCTGTTAACCCTTTGGGGCCTAGTTCCTAGGCCTTTTGTGTATCCATATGCTCTCGCGCTACCGTCCACAGGATGGATATGGGGTGCACAATAAACTAGCCACTTCGGTGGCAAAATCTAATCTAATCGCAAATTCATCCACAAAACTTTACAATTTTTCCTTAGATATTCATATAGTCACTAATAAAAGAATTCAAAAGCAATAATTTATAGGTGGTTTTCAGATACAGATTATGACCCAAGAGAAGATTCAGTTCAGGCACAACACTTCCTATCTCGACTCACAGCGCAGGAACTCACACAAGTCCTAACAAAGTTGACAGATATACAAACAGTACCTTATATGGATCATTCAATTATAGGAGTGTGATAATGTTATAAGAATTATTGACAATATGTTAGGTAAGAGGACACAAGTGCAACTAATGTGACATTTTATTGTGGAAACGTTTCGCTCTCCAGGAGCTTTGTCAAACCATTAACTACTGGGCAATAAAATGTTGCATTAGTTTCACACGTATCCTTTTACCTAACAATTCTAGGAAGGGTGAAGGCTTGACCCATGGTCTGCTAGTTGCGAGACATACACTAAGCTCCCAGCTAGGCCTTATTCCTAGGAAGCATTAACAGAGCCTCTTCCTAATGACAGCATAAGTCATCCTAGAATCATTCACAGAGTCTTCAAGACAATAACATTACACATGTAGGAATCACCTAGTTTGGGATCTATTCCTAATACAGTGGTTGAAAACAGACAAGGCAAAAGGAACTATACAGATCTGAAGAGCTTTTAAAAGAACCTTTATGTCTACTGAGCCTTCCAATCTTTTACTGAGGGTCAAATATGACATTCAAGTAACACTCCCCAATTAAAAAATCCTCCTAAAATACAGGATATTAACAATAGTTGACTTATTATAGGCAATATAAAAAGAAAGCTGCTCACAGAGGCCTTCATTATGCTCATTTAGGAAACTAAAGGACTATTTTCAATGTCCAATAAAAGACCAAAGAACCCCAACATATGAGAGACTTTATTAACTCCCTCTCTGGTTATGCTAATGCAAGGCTACTGTTAAATCAGACCAGGAAAAGTTTCAGTACCGCAAAGTGCTCAGGTTTGAACCTACAGAAACAAAAGTGTGTCCATTATTGAGGAGATGTTAATACATAGTGCAACATTCACCCATGATTAGGCAAATTATTTTCCTGCAGTCAACAATACAGCATTTGCAAGCCACTAGCATAAATAACAAGGTAAGATAATCAAAACTTTATA